CATATTTTGGTTTCATTATATACAGAACTAGTTTGATAAGATTTGAGTAACAGTTCCCTTTATTTGAGAAAATATTGCTACATTGATCTTGTTTGACATGATTGGCAATTTGTTTGGCTCGTGATTTTGCTTCAGGCTTTATTCGGATTTTTTTGTTGGTGAGACAACAATAGAGTGATAGAGAATATCTTTGGTTCATTTTTGAGTTGAATTTCGTACAACGGGGCAGAATTTGAGTAGCCACTTTTACAAGGCCTATTAAGGATGCAACTTCAGGCAATTTATGTGGCATCCATTGATCCTGAGATACTATGGATCTGCACCCAAAAAGTTATGCCTAATCCTAGTCAATATTTATACTGAACACTAGTCAAAAAGTGAGTCTTGTCAACAAGGCTCTCCAAAATGCCACCTAGGTATTTAAAAATGTTATAATATGTCAGATTTTTTTATACTTTATATTTATTTATTTTTTTCCAGAACTTAGATTAACACAGGAAAATTACGCACAGAAAAATTCAGAATTGAACAAAAAACCAAAATTATGGGGTTTTATTTTAAATTTAACCAAATGTTTCATCATCAGATAATTTTGCAAGATTCTGAAATTTTATGTCCATCATATTCTCCTAATCTGACATTTCTTGATTATTTTCTTTGGAGTTACTCTAAGGTGGGTGTATGTATCCCAAAACTGCAGGATGCCATCTGTGTAGAAATTCAACAGTTGCAGACATAGTTATTAACGACAGTTATTGAAAGAGTGCAGAATAGTAGAAAATATTAGATGGAAATATATTTCCAGTGTCTGAATTTTTGACTATATAAAACTATTTTTGAATAATAAATATCAAAATTATTAGGTTTTTAAATCCCAAAGAGAATGCAACTCTAGTTTTCCTATTACCCATGTTGTTTGACATTACTTGCCATGATGTGTTTTCATTCCTGTGTTGAAGCAACTTTTCTAACCACAATTTCAAATTTTAGTTTAGCAGTTTTATATATATATATATATATATATATATATATATATATAGGTAGCATGTTTTCATTCAAGCATGTTTCATGGAATAATATAGACATATTGTGTCTACTTATTTTTATACTGATTCTTTCCAGCTGTCTAATCAATTTCCTGATGTTGAGATGAAATTCATCAAGGAAGGTGCTGTATTTTTTTAAACCCAAGTACTTTCGATCTTTTCTAAGATCATCTTCAGGGGTAAATTACAAACTTATTGTAACTCTAATAAAATCTGCATTGTGATAGTGATTTTTAAAAACATATATGAATGCGCTCTGTTAGAGACATTATAAAATTTATTAAAAGCTCAGCATAGCTACAAGTTCAGGACACTGTATATATATAGTCCTGAATTTGTGTTTATGGTGAGCTTTTAATAAATATTCTACACTATGTCTATATTATTCCATGAAACATGTTTGACTGAAGATATGCTGCCTAAAGTGTATATATATATATATATATATATATTTATACTAGCACAACTTAATGTTGATCCTCATCAGCCCTCAAATGCCTATCTGGAATTGGGGTTTTGAATTTATTTTAGGTAGCAGCCCAACTCAAAGGGATGCCTTGTTTTTGATAAAGGGCTTGTGTTGGTAACAAGGGGAGGGCATAAAGTATCTGTTTAAGGGGAAGTGGTCTGGACTCGAAGTTTATCTATAGCCAGAACCTTTCATTGTATGTAAATGAATTTTGGTTTCTACTATGGGATACTACACTATGCAAACAACAAGTATATTTTACTGGGATTTGCAGTAAGTAGTATTTAGACAATATTATTAATAAGTGATGGAGGATTTAAATATAAAATAAATTAAAATTAAAATAAATTAGTTGAGTGATAGATTCATAAATTTTGCGAGTAATACTGAGACACTCAATGGAATAAATCATGCTGTACAACACACACACACACACACACACACACACGTTTACATATATGTACCTGTACACACATATATACCCACACATACATATATATATATATATATATATATATATATATATATATATATATACACACACACACACACATATGTACCATTCAATTACAACATTTGGAGACTGGTTAAATTATTAGGAATACTAAGCTGCACCCAAAATTCTATAAGATGAAGATAATAAAGTAAGAATTTAATCACAGGGGATTGCATCAGTTTGTGGACTGTAGTTTTTTAGGGAGTTAGTAAGTAATGAGGTAAGATCTATATTCTTATATAAGTTTGAACCTACTCCTATGTCTACATTTCATAATTAGCTCTTTCCATTGATTTAATAGTTTGCATCGGTTATTATATTTTATTATTCTGATTTTCTCCCCTAAACATAGATGCAAGCTATCTCTAAAACTATTGGGGGTGTTTGTGAAATGTAAAATTTTTCAATTTATCTGAGGATTCAGAACTTTTTCCTTCAGTTCCAAAATATTGATATTATTAAGAAGTCACTTCTTTTCACTAATCTAATCAAGTGAGATTTGAACCTGGGTTTCATGGTCAGAATTCTAATGCTCTATTTGGCCAGTGGGACTTGAACTTGGTGCCATCTACCAGTTGGACTTTCTACCATGAATTACCTTCCAGCTATTCTTTTTTGCTTGAAGTTAATCCAACCCAGTTTCATCTCAGTGTAGTCTGAGTGAGCAGACTTTTCACAAGATTTTCATTAAGAAAGCATGTCTGCATCTGTTGGTCTTACAGGTAGACAAGATATGAAGACCTCCTATGTCTTCTTTATCTTTCAAAACATCCCTCACTAATTATTCCATTTATTTTCCTTTTCCACTACCCTTGGAAAATCATCATTAGCAGATGGACTGTCAAAATGGGTTGCATTTAAATGTTAAACCCTGCTGGTGGCATGAAGCTCCAACTGTAATCTGATGCCAGTTCCTAGGTTATGGGATTCTCTTTTAGTTAATATAAGAGTTTTTTAAGAAAACGTCTGCACTCGTTGGATATCTCCAGCCTGATTTTCATTTTTGCTTATCCTTCCCTCTACTGAACAACCTTCACCCCTTCTATATCCTCTTAACAATCATACTTGTTTACTTATGTTTTCTTTCTTCAAAAGTTTCATTCAAGTTTAACATATGAATAACTCAAAAAAAATGCTTGCAGGTAATTAAAAGCAGGAATTATGGATGATTTTGACTTTTTTTAAGTATTTTTTTGTATCATTCTCAGTACTATCAATGAAAATTTAATTTTTCTACCTATTTATAGGAAGTTATGGATGAAAAATAATGGAATCAAATGGAACAATTGCTATAGCAAAACAATCATTAAAGTTAATTATCTTTAATTGGATACTACTTTTATGCTTTTTACTAATTATCACTAATGATTGAAAGTTGATAGTTTTTTTTTTTGTTTTTTTTTTTTAAGCGTTTCACCTCAAGCAAGGCAGAAAGCCACCAGGACGCAAGGGGTTACAGAAGATTTGGAGCAAGATCAGATAGGAGTGATAGAGGAAAGGATGAGGAGAAGGATAGGGGATAGATGAAGGCAACTGGAGATGTCGATTGACATTACATTTGAATAGTTGGAGATTATAGCTCTCTAGTGTCTGCAATGCAAGTTTAGTAACATTCATTACTAGTTTGAAATACTAGGTTAGTGATATACATTAACTTACATTTACTTAGAAAAAGAAAGAAAAATGACAATATAATTAAATTTTTTATTGCCATACATTTCTCATTTCTGAACTTCAACTTTCTTTACTTATAATTTCTATTAGCTTTTCTTATATTAGAAATCTGGATGTTGTATGTAAAATTTGTTTATATAAACTCTGAAACCTTATACAATATACATATGAGAAAGGTTGAAGAATTTATTAAATGATATGTGGTAAAAACAATAAAAATGTGAACAGCAGTGAAAATATACATTATAACTAACAGAGGTACCCAGCATTACTTGTAGGAAAAAAGTGATAAGACAATTTTAAAAAATTCTGATGTGTTTTCACTAAATATCATGAACTCTTAGAAATACATTTTTTGTTTTCTTACTACATTTCATTTGTTTTCATTAATCATTTGCTTGGGCAAGGCAATAAAATTATTTAGATGCAAGGTGTTACTGAGTTTAAAAGAATATGAGAAAAAAAAAAAACATTAATAAGGGGAGAGAACAATAAAAGAACAGAAATTAAGAAGAAAAATAACAATTGATATTACGTTTAAATGTTTAAAGATCAAATTTGACTGAGAAGCAGGAGGCTGGAAAAGAGTTCCACAAGCAAGAAGTGTGAGAGAAGAAACTGTTAGCATAGAAATTATGGTTACATCTATCCATTTCAACTGTAAAATGATGTGACCTTGCTGCCAATCTAGTACTGCACTTGAAGTCATAAAGTTTAAGAACTAAAGAGGAAAGCTCATTAAAAACAATTACCATAAAAATATTTCTACATAAGGTACAAGGAAGTTAGGTTACAGTGGTGGAAATGTGACTGAAGCTGAGATACCAGATCAGGATCAATAACATTGCAGATTCTTTGTATTTTATTAAGGATCTCTTCATACATAGAAGTACCAGACCAAATGTGGCTGTAATATTCAATGGTATGATTTATTTAGTAAATAAGCTAGTAGACATGTGATAGTACCACTATCTCTACAGTAGTATTATTTGCTGACTCTTCTTGAGGGTTTTTATGCACCATTTTCTGATATACTCAGAAGATGGCACCAGTGTGCATAAATGTATTTTCAATAGATAGCATCATTTGGCAAAAAGTATGACTAATTTCTTTCTACTTCAACATTTTCTTAACTCAGTAAATAGTGGGGCAGTGAAGGCCAGATCTATACCCTAGGGTCACTGGTGATTGATTTATGCAAAAATGACCACCAATGACCTTGAAGGCCTGATCTCCCATCATCTGTCCCACCAATGTTAAGGTCAAGAAGTATTTTTTTTTACTTCAATTGTTACTGTGTTTAGTTTGACTGCCAATGTTCCTTTCTATTTCATCACGACCTCTGCTAACTTTGAATGACCTCAGAAGTCAGCATCATATATTCTACGTTATGACATGAGGTTATTCATGGAAAAAACTGGGGCCCTGGGACTTTTGGTTTTGCAGTGATGTCTTTACACACAAACTTCAGTATAATAATATAGATAAAAACAACAGGAAACTTTAGTCGATGCATTTTGTCCTTTGAGGGACTATATCAAGGCAAATGTAAGAGGGCAAAACATGTCAGCTAAGATAAGTTATCCTTTTGTTCTTTATTCGTATTGTCCTTTTAAAGATATACTCTCTGTGAAATGTTTACACATAGTAATATAGATAAACAGTGTGACTTTTTGTTTCTTGTTTCTCTGTAAATGTTGTGATTCTTCTTCCTTTATATGTCCTTTCACAATGTGTGCAATCATAGCTCTCCACAACTACCTATCATTAGCAGCTCAAAGCAATGTCTGTCTCTTTACTATCCCTATCAGTTTCATTTACACATGCTTGTTAGATAGATTCTCACTGTTTTCCTCTACCTGTTTTGCTTTCAAAATGTCCTGTGAGTGTCAGATTCTCCAAACCTTTTTTCTCATTATGTACCAGAAGTTTCAACTGTCTCTTTCTGATTCTAAGTGCAAGTGACCTTTTTGTTACCATTTTCCTTAAAACTTCCTTGTTACTCACGTGTTCTGTCCATAGTAAAATTAACAATTGAGCGAATACTGATTCAGATATCCAATCTGGTGGTAAACAAGCAAGTCACATGTTCACTACAGAAAAATTATGTTGCTTGAACAGCATGGTGGAATTACACACAGATACTACACTGAATTTTAAATAGAAGGTTGGATAGCAACATTTTGCTAACAAGTTGAAGGTACAGATATTTTGATACTTAGCAGAAATCTATCTATTACAATAGGGTGCTGGAAAGTTCTTGGTCTGATGAAGGAATTCCAAAAGAAAATCAAATGTTTGGTCATTTAGTCAGATTTTGGGAAATGCATCTGTTATATTCCGTGCTAATAGGAATATATCCTTGACAAACATGTTGGATAGAATAACTAAAGGTTTATTGTAAAAACCAGTACAATAAGAATAAAGGTACAGTTATATACAAGGTCATTGCAAGTCAATCCAGTAGTGAGTGCTACTATTGGGAGGTCAGTAGTTCTCATGTAAGTCTGAGTCGTACTCAACAGATCCTAGCTAGTCTCTGTAGTCCGTTGACTTACAGATACTTATGGGTAGTTACTACCTATAGTGTACTTACTCATGTGGGTGACAAGTTATTCGATTACATCAGGATCAGTCCAAGAACTTTTCAGACCCACTCATAAAGTATCCTGTCATTTTTTTTTAGTATATAGAATAAGACATGAAAATTCCAAGTTCTTAAATTTTAGAAAATGTTTCTTATTATCCAAAAAATCTAGGTTATAATAAATATTTATAGCCCAATCTGCCTTCATTTTAACAGTTTTGAGTTGATACAGCAAAATTAAATGCAGTATGTTGGGTGGAAGTATTAATAACTTATTTTGCATCAAATTGTTACAAAACCAAAATATTAACCTGAAAGCTTCTTAAATAGCCTCATCAGACTGAGACTTTCTATGGCTGCCATGTATAGTACCAAACGCATTCAGAAATATCAAAACTGTCAGTTGTATACAACTGCTTTCTAAAGTCAATGGTTACAAATGGCCTTGAGTGAGTGAAGGTCTTGGTGAGAGCCATATTTCTTTGAACCTTATGGACTGGTGCTACAGAATCACAAAGAAAGAACTGTACCAAATAACAGAAATATCACTTGAGGATCACCAACAACAGCAACAACTAAAATGTATATCACATGTAAGTCAAAGGGGAAATAATGATATAATCAAGGTGTTAATATTTCTTGCTATTTCAAATAAAAGGTTAGGAAGGAAACTCCCATCAATACTGAAAAGCACAATAACAGCTACTGCACTTGAGAAACATATTTTCTTGAAAAATTTTTTAATAGAAAAATGTTATAAATTTCATCTTAAAATAGCACTAGTTGCTTGGTCAATGCATGCCAAATGTTTCCTTATAAAGAAATGGCTAATATTACCATTCTTATTATTAGGGCTTGCTAAGGTTAGCTAAGTATGGCAAATCCAAATTGGGGGAATAATGAGAATTTGTAAAATTGTATTATGCCAAATATATAAGTAGGGAGGCTTTACTGATCATGAGAATAAGGCTTGAATACTGACTTATGGCACTGTGAGAAATACATAGCTATCTCAGCCTCCATTTTATTATCTAGTGCAATAGAATCCACTAAGAAATAATATTTTTTCAATACAATGCTTTATTTCTGAGTTTTAAATTTCATGGAATTTTGGTTTCATTTTGCTTTTGGTTGATGCATCAATTGAGTTTTGAACACATCTCCTGCATTTTCAATTTTACTTTCTCATCACATTCAGCCATTTTGTTAGCTTTAAGATTTTATTCTTTCTTTTAGTCTACACTGTACATTTTTTTCCCTCCAACTTTCTCCATTTTGATTATCGACATCCATTTTTTTTCTTTCTGATACCACTTCCCTTTTTTTCTTTCATTCTTTCTCACTCTTTCAGTAAATCTCTTCCTGTTATTTCTTTGTCAGTCTATTTTCTCCAGGCAATACCATTTTCCCCACCCATTTTCTTTCTTAGATTCTCTTTTGGTGAATATAAATATAGCCTTTTCCCCTCTCAGAAGTTTTCAGAAGCTCAGTGAAAGATATATATCTCTGTCTAAAATTTATCTTATGTACTGATACCTTAATCCATAATTTTTGCCGTTTTTTCCACTTATATAAGTATTTCTTCTTTGTTGATCTTCAACTGTTCTTTTTTCATTATTCTAGATTTTATATTCAGTTCTTTTCAATTTTTACCTCTTAATTTTCTTCCCAATAGATTAATAATGTAAAATATTTTTTTATTTCTTCTTCTAACATTTTATGTTGTTTTTTTATAAACATTTCATTTGTTATAAAAAATTCAAATTTATCATTCTCCATTTAACTTCCTTCTAACTTTTACTATTCTCTCTCCCCTCTCTCTACTTTTCTAGCTTTTATTATTCTCTCTTCCCTCTCTCTCCTTTTCTATTTTTTTTAAATTCTCTTCTGTCAATTCTTTTCAGTATCTCTTTTCAAGTCTCCTTTCTAGATTTAACTATTCTTTCTTCACTCTTTCTCCTTTATGGCTTTTACTATTCTCTTTTTCATCTCTCTCTTTTTCTAGCTTTTTGCTTCTCTCTTCCTCTGTCTTGTTCCCTAGCTTTTTATCTATTCTCTCCTTTCTCAATTTATAAATCTCTCTTCCCTTCTCAATCTTAGTTTATACTATTCTGCTTTTCTTCTCTCTTATCTCTAGCTTTTTCACTTTATTCTATTCTCTCTCTAGAGTTCTTGCTTTTTTTCCCCCTATTTTCTTCTGCTTTTCTCTCTTTCCTCTCTAATTGTTTGCTTTTCTCTCTTCCCTCTATTTAATTTTTTGCTTTTCTCTCTTCCCTCTCTCACTTTTTTGGGATTTCTTTCTCCTTGAAATTTTTTAATTTTCTCTTTCAAAAAACACATTATAATTTTTTTTTTTTTCTCTCTAAATTTTGCTTTTTTTAAATTTCTCTCTCTCACTTTTTATGTTTTCTTTCTTTCTTTTCACTTTCATTATTGCTCAATGTCCTTAGTTCATTCTTTAATACCTTTGATCAATATTCTACTGTCAAAATTCAAATTTTTGAAAAGACTTTCCAAAAAAATTCCTTTCAAATATTAATATTTATTCATTTTTTTTGGAATTTGTTGGTCCACAAATCACAATTTTAAATCATCATCTCATTTTGTAATTAAAAATAAAATTTGGTTATTTATCCATAAATAATCGTGGTGCTGTCTGAAAAAACTGATACTGTAAAATCAATGAAAACAACTATATTGAACTGCTCAATCAATAAAAACCCATTTCTCTTTCAAAATTTACTAAGTTCCTTTCCCCTCAACACTTGTCCCTTACTTTCACTGCTTTTTCCTTAAATTTCAAATCACATTACTGTTTTTAATTAACCCCAACCAGTATTTAAAACCATAAAAAACAATCAATCAAAAAGATTGCAATGTTGGAATCATGAACAGCTTTGTATATATTATATTCTTAATCTGAGGTGTAAGTTAATCAATCATTTCACAGACATGTGAAAGTGAATGAAATTGGACAAAATAATGAATTGGAAGGGAATGAAGGAAGGAAGAATCTTTTTATAGATCAAAAATGATTAAAGAGAAAGTAAAAAGAAAGCTGAAAAAAAGAATGAAAAGTAAAAAAAGATTCATGAAAAAGGAAAAGAATATCTTTTATAAAATAAGAAATTTGAAAATATAAAGGATAAATCAGAAAAAGGAAAAAAAACTTTAATATGATTTTAAGGAAAAGGAATAAAAACAGAGGGTAAAGTATGAAGGAAGTGGATATAGAAAAAATAAGAAAGATTCAGAAATATAAACAAAAAGAAGATAAACCTTCTATAGGAAAAAGTTCAAACCCAAGAAAAGGAAAGTAAAAAACAAAATGGAAAGAATCAAAATACAAAAAAGTAAAAAAATGTGAATGAAAATTATTAAAAATATTTAAAATGAGATTTTTGTAAAAATATTTGTTCTTAAGGAAAAGTATTGTTAGGAAGTCCTTAAAAGAAAAAAATATGAATTAAATTTCATTTAAAAAAAATTATCATATAAAAAATTTGGGAAAAATTAAATTTAAATGAAGGAATAAATAAAATAGCAAAGCAAAGAAGGCTAAGGAAAATGAAAAAGAAAAGTTAAAAAATGGAAGCAATGAAAAATGAATGAATTGATAGAACTTTAAAGAGAAGAAGTTGGACCAATAAATAAAGCAAAATGCAATAAAAAGACAGGAAAATATATCAAGGTTCAATATTGAATTTATTAACATGAATACAGCCAAATATCTATCCATCTTTTTGTAAAATCTGAATTTTTCTTTTATTTATCTATATATATAAAGGAGTTATATATATAAAGAAAAGTTCTCAACCCTATTTTTTGTATGCACCCTATTGGGCGTGTATATAAAATATATATATATATATATATATATATATATATGTTGCACCAATCAATCAATGGATAGTCTGTAATTTGATTACTCTCAGTAATGATTGAACCCCACCCCCAAAATTAATTAAAATTTAACAGAATATTATTTAAATTTATTCAATGTCTAAGATAACTAATGATTCTGAAATCATGGATGAAATTTATATCATGTAAATTTAAAAAAAAGATGAATCAGTATTTATTTGTGAATTAACAGTGGAAATATATTATGAACAATTAATTGTAAAATACTTACAAAACCATTAGCAAAGTTCAGTTGATTAATTGTGTTGAAACCCTAATAAATTTTTTGTTTTTGTATTGTGTATATATATATATATATATATATATATATATATATATATATATATAGAGAGATTTTTGATGCATGTGTGCATCAACCAAACATGGATTCTATTTCTTGTAGTCCTTAGCAAAAATTTGTCCTTTTTTCAAACCACTAAACCTATTTGCCCTTTTTTTCCCTTTCAAGATCAACAAATAATTTGGAAATGTTGTCTTCTACTTTTAAATCTTATCATCAACATTCCCTCTGAGTGTCATATTATCCAAGCTATTCTTCCTCATTATTTGTCTAAGAATTTTCAGTTATCTCTTTCTGATTGTAAGTGTCATTTTGCTTTTGTATTTGAAAACTTCTATGTTGCTTATGCAAGAGAGTCCATACATTTCTCAGCATCCTTTTGTAGAACCTGTAAGCCTGATTGGCTCAATAAAAGTCAAATTGGTAGCTGACTTAAAAAATGACCTACAATCTGTTGTTAAATGTGGCAAGGTATGGCTTGTTAATTTTAATGTCCCAAAAATGGAACTTCTCTTTTAAAAATCTGTGAGAACCCATTTTACCTTCCATCAGCATGGCTGATGCTAACCTCCAGGTTAGTAACTCCTCATGCCTTTTTCTGCTGACATGAAGTGGAGAGAGTATATTGAATCAATTGCTAAGTCTTCAGCTAAGAAAGGTGGTTCACTATATCATGCTAGACAATTTTTCTTTCCAGAATCTATCTTACCTATTTATAAGTCTACCATTTGTCCATGCTTTGAATATTGCTGCCACATATGGTCTGGTGCTCCTGCTATATATTTAGAGATTCTTGATAAAATTCAAAGAAGAATCTGCAATGTTATTAGTCCTGACCTGGCATCTCAGCTTCAGTCACTTTCCCACCACCATAACATAGCTTCCCTGTGCCTTTTCTATAAATATTTTCATGGTAATTGTTCTGATGAAATTTCCTCTTTGGTACCTAGACTTTATGAATTTAAGTGCAGTACTAGATTGGCAGCAAGGTCTCATTAATTTACAGTTGAAATGGCTAGATGTAACCATAAGTTCTATGATAACAGTTTCTTCTTTTGCCTTCTCACTTTGGAACTCTTTCCAGTTTCTTGCTTCCAGTCAACTTTTGATCTTCAAAATTTAAATGCAATGTCAATCATTATCTTCTGTCTTCTTTATAATTCTTGTTTTTTTATTGTCCTCTCTCCTTAATAGTTTTTTCTCATTTCTCTCACACTCAGTAACCTCTTGCAGTGATTAAAAAACACATTCATATTGCATTGTGTATGTATGTATATATATATATATAAATATATATATATATATATATATATATATAAATAAAATCAAAAATTAAATTATTCTAATAAATGCATATGTTAAATTTGAATACTAGTATATATATATATATATATATATATATATTTACATGGATGCAGTTGATGAACTCCCTGACTTGAATCTAACTTGAATATGAATTAAGGTTCAAAAGCTTTCCTAGCTAACATCAGTTTTATACAAATATGCCTTCCTTTTTCATAGATATTACTCTTTGATATCAGGCAATTCCTGATCTATTTACAAAAATAATTTTTTACTGTGTTGATGAATACTTATTTATATCTGATGGCTCATACTCTGAAAAATTAAAAACACTTCTGTTTAATTTACTTGTAATTTCAATGTATATCAGGAAAAATCTGACATATTTTTTAATATATGCCATGCATCTTCATGATGTGGGCAATCATGGCTCTCCACGATTTTCTAGCCTTTGTATCTTTAAGCAGTGTTTGTCCCCTTATGATATCTTCCATCCCCTGTTTTGCCATACATTTACACAAAATCTATAGGTAGATTACTTGCTGTTTTCCTCTGAACCTCTTAACTTCAATATGGCTTGTGTGTGTCAAATTTTCCAAACTCTCTCTCATTATATGCCCCAGAAATTTCAAGTCCACCTTTCTGATTCTAATAACAATTTTGTTTTCATTTTCCTTAAAACTTGTTCATTATTTATATGTTCTGTTTATGGTATTCTCATCATTCTTCTGTAGAACTATATCTTTGTTTCTTGACACATTTTCTTCATCTTTGAAGAAATTGTCTGTCATATCATATTTTCTATCTTTTGTTAATGAAACATTGACACATAATGAAGAAAGAGGGAGAATTTGACATTCACAGGATATATTGAAGGCAAGAGAGACAGAGGAAAGCAGTGAATAACCTACTTAATGGTTAGCAGAACATGGATTAGGAGAGATAGAAAAAAAGACAAACTTTACAAAGAGCCACAAAGACAGGAAGTTGTAGACAGCCATGATCACCCACATCCTTAAGGGGCATGGCACATTGAAGAAGCAGCATCAACTACCATAACCTAGTGACACTATTGCTCAAGATGACTGGTTTTTAATTCAGAATTGTCTTTTAGACTGTTTTCCACCCAATACTGAAGAGCCCAGTCTGTCATGTTATTTAACCCATAGTTAGGTTACTTGTACAAAAGTAAATTGGATTTTGAATTCATCTTACCAATTTCTCATTCAGATTTACTCTCCCTTACACCACCTGTACATCCATATGCACACTTGAGCAGTAAGAATTCATTCAAGCATGTTTTATTAAAATTAAATGATAGTCTATCTGTCTAATTTTTGTTGCATTTTTCCAGTTTTGCATATATTTATGAAGAAATTGTCCCCAGTTCATGATGACTTCACTTTCTTGTGTCATTATCAGGAATGTTAAAGTCATTAGTTACAATACAGAAAAGTGTTTGTTAGTTTTACTTTGGTATTTTAAAAATGTTTATTGGATACAAGTTACATCATGTATAGTTTGGTTTGTATCTAAGTCAAACTGATAATTTTTTAACACTACTTTGTATAGATAATGTATATTCATTGTATATTTTTCTCATAGTAAACCTGTTAACTACATAGTGGTTTTAGCATCATTCTTGTGATGAAAAAAGTTTATTCTATCTAATGAGCATTCTACCTCAGCTGAGAATACTATTTCAAGAAAACAGTCACATGAATTTTCCCAATCTTCAGCATTCTTGTGTAATCATGGTTGATATTTTGAGATATGCAAATTTTTCAAGAATTTCAACAACA